AGTGGTGTCAAGTTTCAGGAGAGAGGAGGGGGGAAGTGAAGGAAGGGCTCTGGCTCTGGCTTCTGGCTGTCGGAGCCCCGGCTGCTCTGTAAGCCGCGCGCACGCTCTGTATCGGGGGGGGGGGGGGAAGTCCGGACATTGACAAATTCCCCCCGGACGCTATTTTTAACCCGAAAAAGCCGGACATGTCCGGGGGAATCCGGACGAATGGTAACCCTAGCTTCTCCCAAAGTTCCCCCTCCCCACTCTCATCCTTTCAGAGCAGTGGGGTTTTCAGTCTGTTTGGACAAGCAGCTCCCTCCTCCTCCCAGACCACAGGCCCTCCCAGACTAGAGAAAGAACAGAACCCGGGAAGGGATCTGAGCTTGCCCTGCGAACTCGTCCCCAGCTAAACTTCACAAGATCCCAATCATATGAGGCATGAGTCCCTCTCAGTTCCCACTGATGGGGGTTGTGGGTGTTCAGCAGCTGGCAGGTTCTGACCCCCCCCCAGACGAACACTGCTTTCCAGAGCTGGGAAGGGCAAGCAGGACCCTGTTCCCAGTCTCCCTGGCTCCAAGTGCGACTTCTTGTAGTGACTGAGGCAGGGGATTGGGAACAGGGTCCTGCTTGCAGGACTCCTGGCTTTCATTAGTGGTTTTCCTATTGACTTAAGGGACCTTGGGCAAGCCATTCCCCCTCTCTATGTTTCAGTCCCCCCCCCCTTGTCCCCTCCTCCCCCAATAAACCTGCTTTTAATTTACATTTAAAAAATCCAATTTAAATTTTTAAAAATCCCCTTTTGGGTTTTTGGTTTTGAAACAACCATTTATTTGTATTCACCTTCATTTTAGAAGAACTACTTCATTTACGAGAATCATAAATTGCTCATATTCCATTAAAGGAGAAAAGGCAGCAAAATTAATCATATCAATCATCTGTTGTGTGTTATTTGCTCAGTCTTAAAAGAGAATAACTAGAGGGTCGGACATTTGTCTGTTTATGCAGGCCCAGCTAAAGGGGGCGGGGGGTGGCAGGGGCAGGAATGCTGTGTCTGTCCCTGAACCAATAGCAATTGCACAGGATACTGCCGCAAAACCTACATTTTATTGTCAAATCATCTAAGCCATTCCTCTTCTGCTCTTCTTGTTTTACAAGTTTTAGATCAACAAAACCTTTCCCCTGGAAGTCACTGCCCATGTGACGCTGCAGGCAGAGTAGCCTGAGCAGTAACATTGTGACATCAGAGGTAACTCAGCCCCCCATCACTCACTCACTCCAATAACCCTGAGCATAAACCCTAAGCCCGCTGCCTGCCTTGGTCATCTCTCCCATTGAAACCTGCAGTTTCATTTGCTGACTCCTTTTAACCAATGGGGTTGAATTATGCAAATCACCTGCAGAGAGTTAGCACTGACTGTCTGAGTTGACTCTAAACCAGAGGTGAGCAAACTACGGCCCGCAGGGCCGTCCTGCCCTTGAGCTCCCGACTAGGGAGGCTAGCACCCGGCCCTGCCCCTGCTGTCCCCCCTCCCCTGCAGCCATGCTGCCATGCGGGCAGCGCTCTGGGTGGCGGAGCGGTGTGCCCCTGCCGAGCAGAGCGGCAGCGTGTCTAGTTCTGGCCAGGCGGCGTGGCTGCCAGACATGCTGCTCTGAGTGGCATGGTAAGGGGGCCGGGGCCGGGGAGTTGGATAAGGGGCGGGGAGTCGGATAAGGGGCAGGAGTAGGGTTACCATTCGTCCGGATTCCCCCAGACACGTCCGGCTTTTAGAGTTAAAAATAGCGTCCGGGGGGAATTTGTAAATGTCCGGACTTCCCCCCCCGCAGAGCACGCGCTGCTGACAGGGCAGCCGGATGGATGGTGCCACTTACATGGGGCTCTGACAGCCAGAGAGAGCCCCTCCTCCACTTCCCCCTCCTCTCCCCTGCAGCTGAGAGCTCTCCCTCCCTCCCTGCATTCGCAGATCACCAGCCGGCCGTTCGCACTGGCAGTCTGGAGCTCCTCCCCCTGCTCCTCCTCCCCGGCACACTGGTCTGAGTGGCAGAGTAAGGGGGCCAAGGGGTCGGAGAAGGG